ATATACTGCTTTCTAAACTCGAACACTATGGTGTGAGAGGCCCAACCCTGGAACTATTGCACAGCTATCTCTCAAATCGTAAACAATATGTCACAATTAATGACTCATATTCGCATCTTTTGAATATATCGTGCGGTGTTCCACAGGGATCAACTCTTGGTCCCCTACTTTTTCTAATTTATGTAAATGACCTCCCCTTAGCTTCAAATTTTAGTTCCAGATTATTTGCTGATGATACGAATCTTTTTATGTCAAGTTCAAATTTAACTGAACTTGAAATTAATGTAAATCGAGAAATTAAACATGTCAAGGAGTGGCTAGATGCTAATAGATTATCTCTTAATTGTGAAAAAACTAAATACATGATTCTCAGTAACAAAAATGTAAATTATGACATGTTTGAGATTCACATTGATAACTTCAAGCTACAACGTGCTAATAATATAAAATACCTGGGTGTTCATTTTGACACTAAATTAAAGTGGGATTTCCAAGTTAAATTTACAAGCACTAAACTGGCTAAATCTGCTGGAATTATCTCAAAACTCAGACACTACGTGAATGTCAGTACGCTAAAGATGATTTACTTTTGCCTAGTTTACCCTTACCTTTTATATGCAACCCTAAGCTGGGGGTCAGCGACAAAAACCACCCTTCAACCAATCAACTCGGTCCACAATAGAATTATTAAATACATGAGTTTTGCTGGAATGAGAGAACATGTCACCCCTTATTTCTCTTTATTATAGCCTTATGTCACCCCTAGGTCTCCTAAAACTTAATGATATTCATAAACTAGAACTAGCCAAATTTATGTATAAGTTTACTTGCAACGAACTGCCTGACCTTTTCCGCAACTATTTTATTAGAATCTCTCATGTACACTCCCACTATACTAGACTTTCAACATCAATGTCCTATCATCTCCCAAGGTTTAACACTTCTCTTGGCAATAAATCTCTAAAGTTTGTAGGTGTCAAACTCTGGAGTGACATACCCGTACATATAAAAAACCTACCCTTCTCAAGGTTCAAATTCGCTTATAGAAATAGTTTATTACAACACTACGTGTAACACCTAGTGGATCCTTTTCACTGATTTGTTTATTTATATTATCATATAAACCATCAAATTCGTTTTAACGATTTAACGATAAACATCTTAAATCGTACAAATTGTTTTTTGTCTTGTCTCCATATTATTATCTAGAATTACCTGTATTTGTACAGTGACTGTGATGTGGTTATTGTGCTCTCAGTAATTAAGTTATCATTTTCACTGATTTGTTTATTTATATTGTTATATAATTTTTATATTAATTATTTATTT